ATTACACTCATAGTTGAGCAAAGAAATGATCAGACTATATTGTGTTTCCACGTTAATTTTCCCTGACTTGTTATGAAAGGATTGCAAGAGAGAGAAGGCATCTATTATAGGTTTTTTAATAACTCCACTTTGAGGGAGGAGACTTGGATATACCTTCCAAAACAGGAAATCAGGCCAAATGGGTGTGGCGCTTCCATGGCTGTTGCCCTATTTTCAAGAGTGAAAACTACAGGTGGAGTGATCCTGCTGACAAGCACCTCCTTTGTTTTTCTTTTTTTAACTCTGTGCTCTAGAATGTTGTCCCTATGTAGTGTTTTGTAGCAATTACTAATGTTGACAGTGACCTGTTTACAGGACACTCTTAACTGGAGCAGGGCATTAGTGTATAAGCTCCATAAACCAGCCAGTTAATGCCAGTGACTTGTCATAGATCGGTTTTAGTCACCAAAAGCTAAAGAACAAGAAACTGAGAGATTTCAGCTTGGCTTACGTGCATTTCGCCACAATACTTATTCGATATCTCAGGGGCTAAATAGTGCTTTACCTTGAAACTCTTTCTTAATTTGTTGAACAACTGTTTTGTCAAAACAGGGTTGGATGGGTTATTAGCTCTCTCCTCTTACTCTCAAAACAGAAACATCACACTGGAAAAACCCTGGAAATTTACTTTTCAAGGCATTCCATCTTTATCTAATTTTTTTAAACTTTCTGTTTGAATTATGGAAAATGGGCAGAAAGAAAATGGAGGTTGGGTTTCTAACTCCAATGGCAGTGGTGAGCACCTTGATTGCTTCAGTGTCCTTTAAAGCCAAATTAAGAAATCACCTAATCCTTGTTATCTGACTCCTCATCCATTATCCTTTGCAAAGGGTAAACTAGTTAATTGAGGGAGCAGCTGACATAGTGAACTGCTGGTGAACATTGCCAATCAATGTTCAAAATGATCTCAAATATTTGATTCACTAGTAACCAATTGGTGTGATAAATTATATAGGTGTTGAAAGCAAGTTTTGAGACAGTTTTCTTAATTGTTTACTGGATTTTTAATATTCAGAAAAATGATTGGGAAATGGCCCACAATTACTCCATCACCCCAAAATGAAGACCATTTTTACTATTTTTAGTAGAATTGTATCAAGCCTTTCTAATTGAGACAATTAATTATAGTAACATCTGTGCCTCCACATGTGTGCTGGACCCGTGCCCCTCCTGGCTGGTTGCTAACAGCAGGGAGGTGACACGGGGCTGGATCCAGGCGGTTGTTACTGCCTCTCTTCGGGAGGGGTTCTTTCCCCCCACTTTAAAGGCGGCGGTAGTGAGACCCCTCCTGAAGAAGCCATCTTTGGATCCAGCCGTTTTAAACAACTATCATCCAGTCTCCAACCTCCCCTTTGTGGGGAAGGTTGTTGAGAAAGTGGTGGCCTTTCAGCTCCGGCGGTCCTTGGAGGAAACCGATTATCTAGATCCCTTCCAGTCGGGATTTAGGCCTGGCTACAGCACGGAAACCGCTTTGGTTGTGCTGATCGATGATCTCTGGAGAGCCAGGGATGGAGGTCATGCCTCCGTCCTAGTGCTCCTTGACCTCTCAGCGGCCTTCGATACCATCGACCATGGTATCCTTCTGCGACGACTGCGGGAGGTGGGGGTGTGAGGCACTGTTCTACGGTGGTTCTCCTCTTACCTCTCGGACAGGTCACAGTCGGTGTTGGTTGGAGGGCAGAGATCGACCCCTAGGCCCCTGAACTACGGGGTGCCGCAGGGTTTGGTCCTCTCCCCCCTCCTGTTTAATATCTACATGAAGCCGCTGGGTGAGATCATTCGATGGCACGGGATAAAATACCATCAATATGTGGACGATACACAGTTGTATCTGTCCACCCCGTGCCAACTCAGTGAAGCGGTTGATGTGATGTGCCAGTGCCTTGAGGCTGTTAGGGTCTGGATGGGGGTTAACAAGCTTGTACTCAATCCGGATAAGACCGAGTGGCTGGTGTGTTTCCCTCCTACTAATTGGCCAAGTTTTCCATCTCTCAGGCTGGGGGGTCAAACAGTACGCCCCTCAGACAGGGTTCGCAATTTGGGAGTCCTCCTAGACCCACAGCTGACTTTTGAACACCATCTGTCGGCTGTGACCAGGGGGGCATTTGCCCAGGTTCGCCTGGTGCGCCAGATGCGTCCCTACCTGAACCAGGAGGCCCTCACAACAGTCACTCGTGCCCTTGTGACCTCTAGACTGGACTACTGCAACGTGCTCTACATTGGGCAGCCCTTGAAGAGCATTCGGAGACTTCAGCTTGTCCAGAATGCAGCCGCGCGAGTGATTGTGGGTGCACCTCGGTTCACCCACATAACACCTAACCTCCGTGAGCTGCACTGGCTGCCTATTGGTCTTCGGATACGCTTCAAGGCGCTAGTCGTCACTTATAAAGCCCTTCATGGTATTGGACCTGGGTACTTGAGAAACCGCCTGCTGCCAATTACCTCCAATAGACCGATTAGATCCCACAGATTAGGCCTCCTCCGAATTCCATCCGCTGGCCAATGCCGACTGGCGACTACCCGGAGGAGAGCCTTCTCTGTGGCTGCTCCGACCCTCTGGAACGAACTCCCCGTGGAGATTCGAACCCTCACCACCCTCCAGGCCTTCCGCAAAGCCCTCAAAACCTGGCTATTCCGGCAGGCCTGGGGCTAAAGAGCTTCTGCCCCCCCTTCTCGAATGGTATGGTTGTTGTGTGTTTTTAAATTGTGTATTGTTCGTTTGTCTTTTATCCCCTGTTTGTACCTCCTTTCCCTTGACTGAGTTGTGAGCCGCCCTGAGTCCCCTTTGGGGAAAAGGGCGGCATATAAATGAAATAAATCCTAATCCTAATCCTGTTAGCTATAATAATTGAGAAGCTGCATCACAGAAACAGGAGCTGGCATCATCCAAGGAATTATTCAAACATTCAATTGTAGAAATAAGGTAATAAGATCATCAGAAAAATGTTCATCCAATGTGTTACCTTAAAAAAAAAATTGTATACTGAATATTCATCTTTAAGACAAAAATCTAAACCCTAAAATTCAAAACATCTTGAAATGTTGTAGGATGCATGATACACTTTTGTTGGCCCTATTTTTATCTTCTATAACAGGTTTTAAGCTACAATTCTCCTTCAAAAAATTATGTTTTGTGTGAATAGTTTAAAAAACATTCAAATGTGTCTTTTCCCAAATTCTTAAGTCAGTTAGCTCTAGACTCTGAAAATCATCAAACAGGAACTATAGATTCACGTTATCTTTAATGTGGTCATCCCTCATGAATAGTATAAATATAAGCAGTTTCCGAAAGCAAACTGCTAAAGAGAAAGCTTTTTATCGTATTTATTTGGGTATTAAAAAGAGGATGAAAAGAAGGCACCAAAATAATAAAATTCCTGTGAGAAGGAAAAGTGAGGTGGATTAACTCAGTTTCTCAGAGAAAGGGAGTTGAACTCATCATGAGGTTTGCACTGTCACATAATTTCAACCTTCAGATTCAAATTATAGCAATTGCATCGAGATGCCAGTTTGTGTGTGAGGCTATGTGTTGAAGCTGAAAAACAACTTAGGTAAGAATTGTGCAGATAAATTTTATAATCTTTAAAGAAGAATAATTTGACACTACTTGAAAAGAATATTGTGGATAAATATGATTTCTAAGTGCAGCACTTGGTTATATACATCAGTGAATCCCGAAATAACTGATAGGGTTTATTCCCTAAATTCCATGGGGCTATAAATTGCATATGCTTTCTAGTTGGTATATATAAGCAACAAAGTAGTCTTTAGATTAGAAGTCCTAGCTTACCTTGAATAGGCAACTTAAAAGGTATACTTAAAAGGTGTCCCAAATCTAATCAATACATCCTAAGTTGAGAATGCTGCATTTGGCAAGGGATGTATGACTAAGTTTGGTGATTTCTTTCACTGTATTAACTGGGTTTTTTTTATAAAAAAAAAGAGCAAGTAAAAGTTGCACATCTTCCTGGTAGACAGTATTAAATAAATAGCTTGCTTGATTTGGTATCAAGTAACCCGCTAAGTATATAGAAAGTTGTTTCCTGTATTACCAAAATAGTCAAAAACAGTTGGACTAGAAATGGCATCCATTTCTACTTCATCTGGAATGAGGTCAGAACAGAATATAGCATGTACATGGCACCCAGACATCCTCTGAAGAAGTTTTGAGAAGCATTTTTAATAGAGACCAAAGTGCTTATTGCATTTTAAAACTTTAGTAGCAACACTGTGTTCTGTGGCCAGCTGCTCCTGTTTCTAATGTCACATGCCAAGCACAGCAGCAGCACTTAGAATCAAAAGTGAATTTCCTGACTCATTATTCAGCTGTCCAAGCTTTTTTTTTAAAAAAATAATCCTGCATTTTTCCAATTGTCATGGATGTGTGTATGTATGAGTACACATGAACATAGGTGTTTAAGCCTGCAATTGATAGGAACTATTATTATTTTTTATGAGACCAGTATCTTTTTTTAATAGTCTTTGTTTTGCACAGAAAGAGAGAAATATTGGTGAGAAGTTGCCATATATAAGAGTGTGGTAGGATTCAAAATGTTTTATTACCGGTTCTGTGAGCGTGGCTTGTTGGGTGTAACAGGGGAAGAATACTGTAAAATCTCCACTCCCTCCTCACTCCACGGGAAGATTACTGCAAAATCCCCATTTCCTCCTGATCAGCTGGGACTTGGGAGGCAGAGAATAGATTGGGGGAGGGGGCAGTCAGAAGTGGTATTTACTGGTTCTCTGAACTACTCAAAATTTCCACTACTCGTTCTCCAGAACTGGTCAGAACCTGATGAATACCACCTCTGGTGTGCACCCAGCATCTCCCAAATCATCCCAAGTCCTGAATTTCAGACTCCCTTTTTTTTTACGAAAACTGTCCTCTGAATCATCACGCCAAGAAGCAACTGGCAACATTCGCCATTCTTGAGAGAAGGAAAATGTAAACATTCACTTGGTCATAACAAAGAAATTTTTTTAATGAATTCAACTGAAGAGAGAGAAGAACTCCAGTTAGATCTCACTGTACAAACAAAAAAAGGTGTCTGCAGTGCCATGAAAGCATCATTTACAAGTGTTTAAACTTGGGGATGGGGCTAATGAACACAATCACAAAAGTAGCAATGAAAGAACACAGAGTAGAATCAAGTGGGATGTGGAAATGAACAGCAAGAGAAAGTAAAAAATAATAATTATAATTTTATACACACACATACATATAAAACCTTCATTCTTTTCCATCTAGACTGATTTCATTTTACAAAATGGTACATTAAAATCTGTAAAAGCACGGCCATTCTTTTAAGTTCTTTCTCTCATAGCAGCAACCTTTCTTTAAACCACCTCCACACCATTATTTTTGTTAATTTTAGTGCAAATATTGTAGGCCTGCATTACAAGAAAAGGAATAAGATGACCTCCCCGGCAAGTTTCTCTGCCAATGAGAGATCTTACACAGACATTCAGAAAAGGGCTCCCAATTTAAATCACGGCTATCCAAACTTATTTCACCCCTTGTTGGGGAAAAAGAAACGCAAACCTTTTGGATGTGTGGAAATAAAAAATAAAGATCTTTATGGATTTGTATATATGATGGGAAAAAATAAAACCACTGAAACAATTTTTTCTACTGATTATAACACTGGTGTACGTACATCTAAGGTGAATGCATTTAAGATCACAGTCATAAACAAAGAGAGAATCGGGCCCTTTGATCCTAAAGCATTCTTTCATTTTATGCCATCAATTTACTGTGCTAATGAAGATGCACTTTTTCTTACCAATATTTATTGGGACTACACAGTAGAATCTATACACATGCACAACATTTATCTGCTCACTGAGACAGACCAAATGTCTATTTTCAACATATAATTCTGGTTATCCTACGTCAAAACAGCCACAAAAGAATCAGAACAGTATTAAAATTCAAGATGGGAAGGGAGCAGAACCATTTTTAGGATAGAAAAATAGTATTTTACTGAGAGAGAATTCTCTTGTTCCCTTCTTATAATTTGAAGAAGATTGAAAGCTCATTTTTAGAAACCATTTCTCTGTACATTTTATATAAGAGAATCCCCTCCCTTTTGATAGATAGGTAAGTTTTGGAGCTTCTCCCACCTCTTCCCAATTTTTCCTAATCTTTATGGTTCTTATTAATCTCATGAGATTTGCAGAGAAAGACATAAAAAAGTTTACTTCCTTCAGTTCTTCTGGCTTTGTTTTCTATAATTGGAAAATATGCATATACGTGTACAATTTGGTGTTCTTGCAGATTTTCCGTTTTGGGTTTCTTTTTTTTTTTGCTATGATATTCTTTTCTTTTGTGTACGCCAAAAACAGCGTTAGACAATCTATTCCATCAGCCTGGATATGGAATCAAATCAGCATTCTTTGTTGCCATTTTTTTTTAAAAAAACACCAATTTACACGCAAACCAATGGATATAATGGAAGGGCATCATTTTTACTCTTGCTGTGGGAATTAAATCATATTCTGCTTGCCCATTTTAGATCTTTCTGCCTGCAGAATGGATTTTTAATAAATTGGAATAAAACACACATTAGGATTATACGGATATGCAAAAATGCCACCTAAATGGAATGTTGAACGTGATCACAGGAACCACTTTTTGGAAGAAACAGAAAGTGAATTATAGATAAGTCTGTTTCATTCAGCAATTGAAGCAGCCCTACTTAGAAAAGCCCTGGAAAATTTTGTCTACAAAGCACATTATGACCAAGATACCAACCTTTTTTGAAAGCTCTTGCCTAGTGTTTATTGCACAGATAGATACTTATGGCTTAATGAAACCTCTCCCCCACCAGAAAAGAATAATTCTCATGAATGAAAAGAACATGAAACTGAGACTACTAAACCATTTCTAAACAGAATTGATATTCATGAAGTTTTGAACAGAACAACAATTAGAACCAAAATGAAGCACCAAGAAAATTCATTGAAAAATTATACAAAGGGAAGGAGAGAAATTATTAACCCTTACCATGTCTAACTATTTTTATTTTTTAAAAAAATCAAGATTTTAAAAACCAGTAGGGAAAAAATATTTTTTCAAATCCAGATCTGCGGCAAAAAAAGATGTAAACATTATATGTCTATGTAAAAAAAAACAAGAAAGATATGCTATCATTTGCATTCTCTTTTAAAATATTTGACCCTCTCTGATTAATTTCATTTTGGCATAAAAAAGTTGTTTAATTAATGGTGGGCAGATTCATTGTAGCCAACACAAAAAAATGTTTGCTTGCCAATAAATAAGAAATAATGAGTGTTTTTATGATTGGGTGGAATACAGAAGCAGCATACTGCTAAGTTCAAATGAACCTAGTGAATGAATTAAATAAAACAATATAATAAGGACATTTTTGTTAAAAAATCCTTTGATACTGATATGACCACCTCAGGTCCTGTTATATCACAATTCTTCAGCCAGTTTTCTAAGCAAAATTCATTAAACCCAGTGACTACACCACCTCTAGCTGTGTCATCAGGTCAAAACAGGTTGAAATTAACAGAAGCTGCAAAGCAAAGAGTTTGCTGGATTGTTTTCTAATGGAAATAAAAAGTCAAGTATAAACATTAGAACCAAGAATGGGTAGGAAGCAGAGAGATAAAGAGAGATAAAATGCATTAGTGTTGGGAGACAAATAGACTTTTTCTCTGGAAAAGATGCTCCCCCCCCCCCGCAAATACTGCAAGAACAAGAATTGCTTTCTATCAAGGCATGCATATAAGTCTTAATGTAGCTGGGCAAAACATTGTCAGATCAGAGACTTATAAATCCTACAGATTGTAAAAGATTTGGATACAACGTATTCTACAAAACTTCTCAAGTTTGCTTTATTGCACAAAAGCTGTTATTAGGTCTTCACGCACACGCGTGTTACAGAACTGTACCACAGAAAACTAGATCTGAGATGTTACTTATCACCACTAGCCGTGTGTAAGATGCCATCCTATATTGCTCTCAAGAGGCTAAGTAATTCCTACTACTACGTCATCTTCAGCGAGTTGGGAGAATGATAAAACATAGGTCTCTGTCAGAAGCTTGTGGAAGATAAAGCCAAAACAGAAGAGGTTGTGCCATGCGAACATTTTACAGCATTTACACCTGCGAGGCAGAAGGGAAAATGCAAATATGCCATTTCAAGGTATAAATGTGCATATTTAAAAAGATGCCAAAGAAAAGCCAAAACTGGAATAAAAAGCTGGATTCAACTACCCAAAATATGGCAGTGTTCAATCTGAACACATTAATGAACCAATTATACAAGGTTGACCAAAATGTATTAGCCACAAAGACAACTACTTACTGGTAGAGCATAATGGCCTCATTTACTTCAACCTGCTTGAAGTAACAAGATTGGATGAACCAAATATAAATCTACTTTTGCTAGGTTCCAGGAACCATCATCCAACTGGCACACACAAACCCATTGGTATAAAAATAAAATGAGAAGCAAGCTCAAATTATCTGGAGAGATCTGACACTACAACCAGAACCAAGTACAGAACTCTAGATATCTAGAAGCATCCCTTAAGATTGCTGTTCCTTCGCCAAGCCTGAAACATTTTTCTACTTTCTATCGGATTGATCTCAGCACCATCATGTCCTGCTTCATGGAATTAGAACAAAAGGATCACTACTCAGGTACTTTCTTCAATTCTCCCAGTTTTCTGGAGCAACACTTCTTGAAAAAGCACATATTAGCTGCAGGTTTATCTGCGGAATGATGGCAAGGTCATAGATTCAACGTGGAACTGAATACCTAACTACTGGCACAACATTAATAGAATGAAAATTTGCACAGAATATTGTCCTCTCCTGCCAATAATCATTTAACTTCCAAGATTGCAGATCAAATTATTTTATTTTATTTATCCTTTAGTTTTCCATTAATTCCTAAGGAGATGGAATTTGTACTAAATGAACTATGGCAATTTTAATTCTGAAGGCAGAATTAAGGCAGGGAAGCATTGGTCCCTTACTTCTGACATAAGTATATTGAGCAGTTCCTATTGATTCTAGTGACAAGAAAATGTTGGCCTTCCTTTCCCATTAAGATCAGAATCCTCCTTAAAATATCAAACATGAGATGCTGAAGTCTGAACCTTGAGCAATACAACATTTTAGACAACTTTTCATTCTGGTTTTACACCAGCCTTCCTCAACATGATACAGCTCAACATTTTTACAGAAAAACTCTTGTTCACCACATGACTTTTGGCTCAGACTATGGTGTTGCACGTAGAGCATAAATTGGGACGGCTGATTTAAATTAGTTCAATAAACATAGAATTTGCAATAGGAAATAACAGAAAAATCAGTTTGTACACCCTTTTTTCCTATAAAGCAAATATTTGGCATTTATTGCTATAAATAGAAACTTGATAGTGTTCAGTAATACCTAGGGCATGTTTAGTGGTCAGATGTTCTTCCAGGAGCCAGAATTTTTCCCCCTCCTCCTATGGCCAGCATAGGCAAAAATAGATAATGAAACTTCATCAGTCATTTCTGGGTTTAGAAGCTAAGCGGAGTTTGTTTTGAATCTAGTCAATTCTAGATTCAAGATTCTAGATTCAATCCTCTAGGGAATCCCAGATTGCAAATTAGACTGTAGTCAAAAATATCCTTGAAGAAGGCAAGTCGCCATTGTTGTCCAAAAAAATGACATAAACATGTCCATGAAATGACCAAGAACTGAGCTCCACTTGAATCAAACACCACCTTTACAGTACTCAAATTCCCTGGATTTCATTCATGCCACTGAATCTGACTTTTCTTATTAGGAAATAAAAACCCATAATCTAGATCATTCTAAAAACTTAATTAACTAGAAACTCTGATCAAATAGCCTAGCATTATATTCCGAACTATGCCTGTGATCCAGACGCATTAAAAATAAACAGGAATGTGATCACTGATATCAATGAAAATTAACTTTGAATCAAGATGGCAGTTTCCCAGCTTTTAAGGCAAAGCTTGAAGAGAGGCGATGATGCTCACCACAGGAGTTAACATGGCTTGAAGAAGATCCTGCCCAAACTCAAGAACCTGATCTCTGAAGCGCACAATGGGGTAAAAAATCTATCAGCTCCCTTGCCTTGCTGACCCACAGATCACATAAAAGAAAAAGACCCAGTCATTATTATGTTTACCATTAACTTGAGCTATATTGTGTGTTTTATAAAGAACAAGTTTTAGAGTAAAACTGTCTGCTTCCAGATGAAGATAAAGCTAACCTCTCTCCAATTTATCTGTGGGAATCCCTGCTGAAATCTGCAAATTCTTTAAGTACAGTTGCATCAATGCTTGGCACTACAGGAGATGTACATAAGTGAAACATGCTGCCTTTTTCAGTAGTGAGCACAGATTTTATCAGCCATATTTAATTAAGAGTTGGAAACACCAAATGCAGCAGGAGGCAAAGTGCAGAATCCATTTTTCTTCAGTGGTCTCTAGGACCAGAAAAAGGACAATTAAGGACTGATTTGGCCTGACACCATCAGGTGCCAATGTGCATAACCCTGGCCAGGTCCCAATGATTGAAATTTAGCCAAAGGGGGAAAATTTCTCCAAGGGAGCTTCTTGCACGTTCTCCCTCAAATTAATCCCCTTTCCTGGTCAGCCACAAGAAGAATGGTAGCACTGGGCAAAGACAACCATCCGCAATCTGGAAGCTGGTAGCTTTGTTTGAGAAACAACACCAGCATGTGATTCAGGCATACTTCACAGGAAGCTGCATCACACCCAAAGTGGCTGGCTGGCAGCCAAAAGGAAAGAAAACACAGGGTCCTGCAACAGATTTGACAAACACTAATTACAGAAGACATCATGCCAGAAACAAAGGCTTAGTGGAAACCCACTCTGGCATTTCCCCAGCCCTCTTGGCACCACTCCTAGCCCACTGACGAAGGTATGTTGCAGATACAGCCTTTGTAGACAGTGCACTGTTCTCTATTGTCTTCAGGGAGACGCTTCTCTTTTTGTCAACCAGTTTCCCCGTCACTTTCCCCATTGCCTAATGAAGACACTGGATGTGTAACTTTTGAAGAACCATTTGGACCTGTAATAAATTTCCCTTCTCCCCCAAAACTTCCACCCTGTGCCAAAAGCCACCCAATATGGCAAACATTCCCACGAGGCAGCTCTCAATATCAGCAGTGGTTCAGCAAGCCTTTAGAGTTTTCGAAATGTCATGGTATCCAACAAAAATCAAGAAAATGTTAAGGCCCAAATGAGATCAACTAACTGGAATGTACTACTTAGCGCAGGAGAAGGAGCCAGGTCAGACAGTCCATTCATCAGCCTAACAGGAAAACAGCTAGCAATTTATGGATGGTCACATCCACTGCAGTAACTGGTGAAGGAGGGAAAACCCCTCACCGTTGGGTCCTGGGATGGTGACTGCTGCTTACCAACTCCAGACTGATATAGCTTTCATTTGTTCTAGTCTTCCTGTCTAAGGAAATATCTGGAGCAACATCATTTCCTTTCCTGGCTCTTGTTGGCCTTGTGCTCAAATGCCATTGTGCTGTCTCTGATCTTGAGGTGGAGCTTTCCCCCACCAACAGTAACTGGGTGGAGTGGTGGCTAAAGAGTTACAGCGCCAGTAGAGTTGGAGAGTTCAAGGAATCAGATGACTGATCCCCACTGCTGCTGCTCCTCCGGTGAGCTTTGGAACAGGATTCTGATGGAGAGAGTGGTGAATCCTGGTCCAGCACGCTGGGATAGGTGAAGACCAAGTTGGATGTTCCAGGGGTAACAGCAGGAGTTGAAGTCACCACAATAGGTGTGTTGAGTGGCTCTTCTCCATAAAACCCTCCAACAATGCTGATGGGCTTAATGACAGATCTCTGCCCTTTTTCAGGATCTAAAGAGGAAGAGGGGATCTCTTCCTCCACAGGCTCTTGCTTCACCACCACATGGCCACTCATTCCAGTCCTCAGGGCCTGGAGGTTATGAGGTGGAGGGGTTTGATGCCCTTCGGGGGTGATCTTGCACATGGGGCTATGCGCCATTAACATGAATTTCAGCTTCTCTTTCTCTTTCTCTAGTTCAGCAATCTCCTTTTGCAGCACTGATTTCTCCTCCTCCAGCTCCTCTGTTTCCTGTAGATCCAAGATAAAGAGGTGGTCAGCAAGAAGAACAGCAACTAGCATTCCAAGAAGGGGTTTCAAGATAAGCAGGCTTTACTTCAGTTTTAGCAACTGTAGCAAAATATGTACTTGCCTCAGTAAGGGGGAAAAACTAGGTCCTCTGAATGAGTCTGTTTAACTTCATAAGGACTGATGGCTGGCCATTTAAAGGCTAGATAGAGATCTGAAAGCAGGTTTGAAAAACCAAAACACAAAACCTTTTCTGACAAAAATTCACTACACTGAGATTCATATTTGAACTTTAAGCTCCTTCCCAAAATTTACTTCATTTATTTATAATAAAGTACTTGTCACCATAAGAATCTATCAAGGACTGGATGTTGTCTATGTACACCTACTGGCTGTTTTGATAAATTTGAATCAATTTAATAGGTAAAAAATTGGAATGATTGTAAGATTAGTGCTCTCATTTGCCTTACAAGTAAAGGTGCAACCACAATTTACCTGTAACTAAGAATAGATGCATTCTTGCAGCAAAAATATGATCTCCAAAAAGATATGTGTGCAAAACAGGTTTGAAATAATTATAGTACTTTTGCAGGTCATGAAGAAAAGCATAAAGAAATACTCTATAGGCATTTGCTTTTTTTTAATGTTAGGTCATTTTTTAACACCTTTAAATGTTTTCTCCACCATATTTGTATGATTATCTGGTATAAGCAGAATGAGGGAAAGTGGGTAGATCACTATTCATACATATTCACCTTTATTATTTTACTCTTCTCCTTTTGTTAACCAATTCCAACATTTTCCCTATTCCCTAATGAAGGCATCGGATTTGTAACTTCTGAAGAACCGTTTAGCTCTGTAATAAAGTTTTATTTTCACCCCAAATTTCCAACATGTACCAAAAACCATCCAACCATCACAAGAATCTCCATGGGGCCGCTCTCAACATCAGCAGTGGTTCAGCAAGCCTTTAGAGTTTTAGAAATGTCATGATATCAAACAAAAATCAGTAAAACTTTAGATCATCTTGTATCACATAGCCACAAAAAATCAGTATATTATATTCCCCATTTACAAAGTTATCCAGCTTCATGTGCAGAGGCCAGCCTATTTTAGCACTTTGGACAGGAGGCTATTCAGAAATCCCAAGACTATAGGTTAGAAGGGAAAGTCAAAAACAAAAGACGTCAATGGGATTGACTACATCAACATTGTTTTCAAGAAAATGATAGAGTTTGTCCATGAAGTCACTGTGTGTGGAGCTCAATTCAACAAGTCTTCATTTTATGTTGCAAAAAACAAAGGACATAACAAGAAAGGAGGAGATTTGTGCCAAATACATACTGCCTGGAGTTTCTCAGTCAGCTCTCGGCGTCTGTTACGGCATTTTGCTGCTGCTAGCTTGTTCCTTTCTCTTCTAATTCTTCGCTTCTCTTCTTCTTCAGGTGATAACTGTAGATAAGCAAATGAACAAAACATTTAGTTCAACTGGTAGTTTGAGGGATGAATCAATGAGAAATGTCATTCAACTGATGAACTCATGGTTTCATTTTCACCTTTCACATATTGTTCAACTGATTTATATTCCACTTTCCCTTCAGGAGCTCAAGGCAATATATCCACAACCCTCCCTCCTCAATTTTTCCCACAATAACTACTTTGAAAGGTGATTTGAGTGGAGAATGTGTGATTGGCCCAAAGTCACCCAGTGAGCTTCCATGATTCAAGGTGAACGTGAACCTCGATCTTTCCAAGTTCTTGTCCAACCTCTTAACCTCAAACACTATACTATCCTGGAAGGTGATAGCAATTAGGGTCTGAAGACTGGTGAAGATAAGCCAGTTACTTCAAAAGCTATCATATTACTAGCTGAATAATGCAATTCTGGGTGTCACACCTGAGGCTCCCTCATATGGATCCAGGGGTTCTGAGAAAACATTCTTTCTACTATCAGGCTTTGATATAATATAGCACTGGAGCCACTGGGGAGAAAGAAAAAAATGATAGCGAGGTGGGGGAAGAGCACAGGAGTGGGGAAACCACAGGAAGATTGGGCAAGAAAACAATGAATCTGCAATTAAGGCTGAAAGCAAAGATAGAAGTGGTTTCGCAATGTGGGTGGTTTGTGAGGTAAGAGTATAGGAAAATGTTGCAAGTTTTTCTTTCTTAGGAAAAAAATCTGTGTGCTTCTTCTCCTGGGACAACAGTCATTAACTGGAAGGTCAGAAGCCAAGGTCCAGGGGGCTGAACAAACTGGAATGACCCTAATCAAATCAAAAGAGATGCCTTTCAATTTTTTCCTCTCCTACCTCTGATTTTTTAAGATAAGACCCTACATTTCCTGCATCATCAGGCAGCTCTTAAGCAAAAGGAGATAAATGTCATGGAGGGTGTATAGTGTGTTTCAATAAGGCCACACACAGCCTAGAGAAGAGAATTAATGCTTTTTGAGGGGGACTGTAGATAAACGCAAATTTCTAGTAACTTCTCTGCCCTCTCCTCCCACCTGTACATGTAGCAGAGATAACAGTTATCTTAAAACAAGTTCAGCATCCCAACTATAATTAACCATCTGTTACAATGAAAAAGGAATTAAGCCACCCAAAAGTTTTCTAATTCTAATTAAGCATCTAATCCTAAACAACTTCTTTGTTGAATCTAATGACAAACTGGAAATAAGAAATGTGGCCCCAATGCAAAATACTTGAATGGCACCCATGCCCAGGGACGAGGTTTTATTCTCAGCTACATTGTTAACTCTCTGATCCTTCTCCTTATGCCTGAATAGCCAAGGTAAGGTCCAGCCAGATCCACTGCAAATCAGCGGTGGTGAGAAGAGAAATCAAGATATGAAGATGGATGTGGTGTCGCAATCAAAGGGTGGAGTTTTGATTGTGACACTGCACCCATCTACTCGTGTCCCAGATTCTTTGAATCACAGCATTCAGAGCCATCAACTGTACTGAAAATTATGTGAAATTGCACTAATCCTGAGCCTTGATGGCTTTAGAATGGGACTCTACCAATGAAGAATACCACCATTTTTTATTTGATTTCTATCTTACTTTTCATTCAAGAGCTCAAGGTGATACAGTGTTTTCTCCTATTTTCCTCACAGCAGACTGTTTATGAAATAGGCTGGGCTGAGAGGGAGCAACTGGCTCAAATTAAGTACATAAGCTTATGTGACTGAGGGTTGACTAGAATATGAACTGCCTTACGTCTAGTCCAACAACTTCATCGCTGCACCACATTGGCTCTCGATAATGACTAGCTGTAACAGTTAGGACAACACTCACCCATCATGCTAAGCCTGGCTTTATTTCAAACATTGTTTAAATTTGCTATTGTGGCCTGGTTTCTGTACATATCCTTATGCCATAATGGGTGGGTTTGCACAACACACTAAACCAGAGGCACAGAAACCACATTATGCCATAATATAATAACTAATGTGTTACCTTCAAGTTCAGATATATATTTATCTCTAAATTAGTTGCTCAGGAAGAACATGAGCTTGCTATTACCTCTTGCCTACTTATGGATTATCCAGAGGACTACAGTTGGCTACTGTGGGAAGGACTGCTTGGCATGCTCTGGGCATGTCCAGGGGAACAGTCCTTATGTTCTTAGGACAGAACTATCCATTAGAGAGAAATACAGGGGTGCTGCCTTAAGTAGCAAGCTCATATTATATTTTCATCTCCCTAGATTTTTAGTTCTTACAGTAGTTATGTAAATCTCCAAATACAAAAAGTTTTTTAAAAGTTAAATAGTAGCTCAATAATATTTAACAATATTGGGTGAATATTGACATGCACCAATAAGCCGGGCTTTAGTAATCTATTTAGCCATTTTCAAGCTTACATTTTGCTCAGAATTCCTGATAATTATTCAGCAAATTAAGATTCTTGGATTCCCTTTACTTGAGAAGTTACTCCGTAGATGTCCACCAGACAACAAAGAATGGCATTTTGTATTATATTAAGCCTTACACGTGAGTTACAACCAACAATATAGTCGCAATGAAAATGAGATAATGAATCTTTCCAATGCTTTTGGAAACCATACGTTCCACTAAAACTATCTCTGAAGGAGACACAATGAAAACATTAATGCAAATGAAAACTTAAGCAGCGGTATCACATCAGATTCGGCTAATAATTTAGCTTACTGAAAGCTGACAGTTCTGATTGGATTCTACCTTAACACTACAAATCTTTCCAGTTTTGTAATCCAAGATTCCTTCACTGGAAAATCCTGGGACCAATGCAAGGTCTCACACCAATGTAAGCTAGTTCAACTATGGTTGGTAGAGACCTTCTTATACTGGTCAGTGTTCCTTCAAGCTAGATTCAGGTAATGCACAAATCTATTGTCAGTTGCCACCAACATTTGAAGCACATACTTAAAATGTTATGTCCAATATCAAGTCCATTCCGCTAGTTGTTTTAAATAGTGGAGCTACCTGTTCATCTCTTCTCCTCCTGCCCACGGTGGTCCCAATGGTTTTAATAACACCAGGCCTTTGTAGGGCTGTGTGTCCAGTAACTGAAGACAGATTGGGCAATGCGTGGCTGTAGGGATGCGAGCGAGAGTAGGCACTTGGCATGGAGGTTATCACGGTGGGCTGAACCATCCACTGTAGATCTTGGCTGGTGGTTATTGCGTTGAGAGTAGGAATAAATGTGTTGCTCGATCCTGGCATATCGACCCGGAATTTCTAGAAGACACAGAGAGAGAATTCAGCAACCTATTTAGATGAAAACATAGGATGCCAAAGAACTCCAGGGAAAAATACATGCATTGCTTGCTTTCCCACCAAATGAAAATGATGTGCATCTAATTCATCTGAGCATCCTTGCTGAAAGCAGTTTATACATGACTTGGAATAAAGGACTCTAAAAAATACTTTTAACTGGAGATGCCAAGGATTAATTCAGGACTTTAAGAGCCATGGTGACTCAATGGTTAGAATGCTGTACTGCAAGCTGCTTCTGCTGACTGCCAGTTGCCAACAGTTTGACAGTTCGAGTGTCACCAGCTCAAGGTTGACTCAGCCTTCCATCCTTCGGAGGACCCAGATTGTTAGGGGCAATATGCTGACTCTGTAAACCGTTCAAAGAGGGCTGTAAAGCACTATGAAGTCATATAAAAGTCAAGTGCTATTGTTATTAACATCCAAAGAAAATGCTTTGTACAACTAGAAGAATACTTAGCAAACCATTCTTGAGGATCAACAATATTACAATAAATATGGTAAGATTTCTATCAGATAGCACTTCCATATTGCTGCATGATTTCAGCATAATTGTGAGATTTTGTTTTATATTAATTAATTGAAATGTTCTGAGCTCAGTTTTCAACTTAATGCTTGCTAATTTAAGCAATACTTTCTCATATAAGTAGGCCTAATTTTTCTTCAGCACATTCTTATCCAGACAAATACAGTTTCTAGACTGTGTGAACAAGAATATTATCTGGAAAAGCCTAATAATATTTCATGCAATCTTCGCTTGAAGTTACAGTGTTCTTGGAAAAGTGACTTAAGACCCATTCTCAAGCTTACAACCACTGTTTCATCTTCTTGGGTCATGTGATTGCAATTTGGGAGTTTAGCACTTGGCTTGCATTTACAATGGGTGCAATCTCAAGAGATCACATGATTGCAATTCCCAGCCATCTTCCAACACGCAAAGTCAATTGGGAAACCTGGATTCACTTAAACAGGTCATTCACTTAATGAGTATGGTAAAAATGATAATAAAATCAGATCTGGTCATGTGTTTGACCCATTTAAAAACTATATCAGTTAGTGACTGAAATTCCTGTTTCAATAATGGTTGTAGGTTCAAGGGCTACCTGTAAATGAATTTGCTTCCCATTTTTAAATACAGTACAATTGTATCTTTTTCCATCTTCTACTTTAACTCATACATGACATACTTTTTGATGCTTCAAACAGTCAAGCTAGAAATGTTCAAAGAGGAATTATTCTTTGAAAGTTGTTTTTTAATGTCATGTTAACACATAATTTTATAGCTTCAGATATGATAGAAATATATAGAGTATAAATACATATTTGTATTACATATACAAATATGGAAATTATTAAAGATATTGAAAGAAACTGTATTCTGAATTGTTATATAGGAGTAATATATTAATAATTGGAGAATATGCAATTCATCTTTCCAAAAATTGTTGTGGTTCATTGAGAAGAACTGACCTGTATACTGGAGCAAGCTTTTTATGGTCCCAGTATTGATTTAAATACTAGGTAGGATATGAATACATGTAATTTATTTTCTATTACTATAAATCAGCATCTTTGGTAGGATGTTATTTTGTATGAATCTTTTTAAATATACAAACCTTCAATATTTATTTGCAAGGCAAACAATATAGAATAAATCTCTAAACCCATTGAATACTAGACATTTCTATTTCTCATTCTATACATTGGAGCAGCCAATGATTTGTTAAAACAATACAGAAGTGAGAGCAGACTGTTAAACTGAAAAACGCCTTTGGTTCCTCTTTAGCATTGGGCAGAATACATTGTAATTTGCAGATGACTAGCCAACAATCTATATGAAATAAATGCACTATTGATCTTCTTGGATTTCAGCTTAAATGTACTATGTAAAAAACAATTAAAGAGACAAAGTTGAATTGCATTAAACCGATTCACTTGTTGGAAGAAATATCCTTCTGGATTCAGTTCCAAGTGGGAAAAAGACACTGGATTCATGGAAGTTGCTTGGAAAGAAGGTTTATTGATGATGGACAGGACCACATGGTTTGAGGTCCTGGGGGAAAAAGGGGGATCACATGCATTGAAGATCTTGAAGAAAGAAAAGAGGAGAGATGCTGAGAGTCCTGGGTTTTATGCCCCCTCTTGTGCCCCGCCTTAGAGGTTCCTGTTCCTGTACAAGAAATTTATCCCATTGGCTGTCAGACTCCCAAGGGGTGGAAGGTCTTAGCTAACTTTGTAGGCTGACTGTGCCCCAGGCTTGACTGAGCCTTGCTGGGTGATGCAATCTCCCCAGGTACCATGTGGTGAGTTCTGTTGCTAGATGGGTAGAGGGCTAATCCTATCATGTCCTGAGGACCATACCTTAATCCCATCACCCTGGAGCTGAAGGGGGGCAGAGAGCTGCAGGAAGCTGCTGTCTTTAAAACATGTTTCTCCTTTTCTCATCCAGGGAAATATAATATTCTGCCTTTTAAATATTTCCTAGGATATTTCATTTTTTTAGTAGAGGGGTGCTAACTTCCTTCACACTCAAAGCAGAAACCTACACAAAAGGGAAGCCTTGCCTTGACCAACCTCTTCAAAGTGCTTAGATGAAGCAAACGCTCCCCTCCCCCATAATGATTGGATTACTTTTGAGCAATATTAAGCATAATGTATAAATTATTTTAGCAAATTGATCACACTTGTGTCACTAACAGCAGAATTCTCATAGCAGGAATAAATATGGCTTTGTTATTAAATAAGCTGTTGCTGCCAATTTAAAGAAATCTTTTCGTATTACTCAGACCTGACTTTTTAGCATAATACGAAGACAGAAATCGTGGGGATAGACTGCACTGATTGGATTGGCTGGAGCCTCCAGGTAACTTGGCGTTTGAAGATAAGTGTTGCAGAAAACTGGAAAACATGAAAGCAAAGATGTGTGTGTGTGGTTAGTACAGATAAGAAGACTGAAAAGTTCAAACGTTTCTATGCATTGCTGGGAAAAAACCCACTGAGCGTTTCCAGTTTGGCAAGGGATTGGGTAAATGAAAGTTGCAAATGTTTATCCTTACATTTGAAGCACATTATTGACTTTTTTTTAAAAGTAGATTATTTATGGAATGCATATATATTTCAAGTGGTTTCATCAAGAGGAAGGGGAAAAAATCAATCTTGGAACGTTTGTTTGAAAAGTTATTTGTACATATTTGTGAATTTTGTTTGTGGAAACAGGATAATAAAGCACAAGCCAGTTACTCAGAGAGCGAGACTTAACTCTGGAAAGAAAAACAAGCAAACAAACAATAGATATTTCTGCGCAGAAAAAAAATAGTACATATACTCTTACCTATACAAAAACAACTTAATACTACAGATGTTAAGTTAGTGAAACAAACTAAAAACTAAATAACTTCAAATGCCACTATTAAGAACAGGAGCTAAGAATACTTTCAGCACTCTGATATTTACTGCTATATTCAGGCTTGCTGGGAATATGGAAGAAGATTGTAGAAAATATGGGAGCTTAATCATTTTTATTTATTTATTAGGTATCTGGTTTTTAAATCAGGAACTCAAGTCAATATAAATAATATTCTATCCTCCTTGTAGCTAAGGATAAAGTAGAAGCTTTGCCTCTCTGCTCCTTATCCAACACCCTAGAGACACTACACAGCATTTAGCGCAAAACTAGGAGTAAGAAGTTGCAAATTAGTAAAAAATATAAAGAGTAACAAGTTGCAAATAAAAGAAAATTGTACGTTGTGGACTATAAAAAAGATTACTAGGAAGACAACTATATTCGGGAACTACAACTTTCATTTCAAATGATTTGGACAGAATAGTTTCATTGAACATAAATCATTGTTGTAAAGTGATAAGCTTTAAAAGAGATACTATTTAGATACACAATAAATGTATAAATGTTTCTACAATCTTGTAAATTAAATTGTAAAGTAAATCTCTGGGAGAAAATCAAATGTACGATTGCTTATTTACTTTGAGCTGGAATTAGGTATCTGGAAAGATGTGAGATTATTTGCAAATGAAGAGATTAAAAAAATTGCACTAGCCTTTACAGCTAACAATTTGTCTTGCAAATGAGATTTTAGATGTGAAGATGATGTTAGAAATGAACTGCATTTCAAGTACGGGGTTGTTTACAGGTTACTAGTCTACTAAATGAAATCCATAGGTTATTTGTGTTTGTAAAAAGACATGTTTATGTTAAAAGCCAAGGAGAACTCAAACGGATGAAAAAGCTGGATGCAATAGCACAGGTTGCCGAACAAACAGGTTAATCCTGCAGTAAATGTGGAAAAATCAAATAGTGAACAAATTAGTTCAGTTGAAAGAATAGGATGATTACACATTTATTCAAATTCATAGCACATATGACCAGTTTTATAACTTAGTGCAAGAAATGGAGTTTCAGTGGTTAGATATACACGATAAGACATCTGCAGAGTTTTTTATATTTCACTAAATTGCTAATTATAATGTTGATAAAACCATTTCTATTTCAGCTGACGCTATTGCTGCTGGATTGGAAGTAGGGTTTGCTTAAGTTTAGTTCAAAATAATTTTAGTAATGTCCAAGAAAAGGGAGGTATTCTACTTACTATTTTAAATCTTATGATACCCAAGTGGCACATTAGAAAGGGTAATGCGTTAAAAGGACGTTTAAAAAGTAACAGTTAAATCAGATTAGTCATTTGGCAAATCAGCAGCCTAAATTTTCACAGACATTTAAAGTTAAAAAAGTATGCCAAACAATTGAGAAGAGAAAAACCAAAATAATATTGCAGAAAAGCAAATACATTCACTTTTGGAAGTTAAGGAAAATGATTGGTGAAAACCTGCTCAAGTAATGGGAAAGTGCAAAAGTCTTCCAGTAGGAATACTAGTGATAATATGGTTTAACACAGAAATAGGGAAGATCTACAACTTGCTAGAGTACTAACTGTAGCTTTCTGAAAACA